CCCGCCTCCCCCTCTCCTCTCTCTCTCTCTCTCTCTCTCTGCTCCTCCTCCTCCTCCTCCTCTTCCTTGTCCTTCTTCTCCTTTTTCTTCGTTTTCTCTCTTTCCCTGTCTCTGTCTGTCTCTCTCTGTCTCTCCGTCTCACCTCCTCCTCCTTCTCTTTCTGCTTATTTTCTCTCTGTCTCTCTCTCTGTCTCTCTCTCTGTCTCTCTCTCTCTCTGTCTCTCTCTGTGTCTGTCGGTCTGTCTCTCCTTCTCTCTGGCGCAAAGCTCAGGTCTCCATCAGCCAGCGGAATTCCCCGCTGTGGCTCAGTGTCTTTCTGCAGTTCTGGGGAAACCCACAGAAGACGGGCCCTGGGGACCCTCAGCTCGCCAATGTCCTGCCCCGCTGCTCCGTCGCCAACTCCTCCTCCTCCGTCTCCCCATCTCCCTCCTTGTGCCCCCGTGCTTCTGCTTCCCACTTTCTTTCCCCCTCCCTCTCCCCTCCGTCTTCCCTCCCCTCCCTCCCCCTCCCCTCTTCCTCTTTCTTCTCCTTTTTCTTCTTATTTTCTCTGTCTCTGTCTCTCTGTCTCTGCCTCTCTATCTCTCTCTGTCTGTCGGTCTGTCTCTCTCACTCTTTGGTGCAAAGCTCAGCTCTCCATCAGCTAGAATTCCCCATTGTGGTTCAGTGTCTCTCTGCAATTCTGGGGAAACCCACAGAAGAGGGGGCCCTAGGGACCCTCAGCTCGCCAGTGTCCTGCTCTTCCTCCTCCTCCTCCTCCATCTCCTGCTCTTCCTCCTCCATCTCCTGCTCCTCCATCTCCTCCTCCATCTCCTGCTCCTCCATCTCCTGCTCCTCCATCTCCTCCTCCTCCATCTCCTCCTCCATCTCCTCCTCCTCCATCTCCTCCTCCTCCACCTCCTCCTCCATCTCCTGCTCCTCTATCTCCTCCTCCTCTATCTCCTCCTCCATCTCCTCCTCCATCTCCTCCTCCTCCATCTCCTCCTCCTCCATCTCCTCCTACATCTCCTCCATCTCCTCCTCCATCTCCTCCTCCATCTCCTCCTCCATCTCCTGCTCCTCCATCTCCTCCTCCTCCATCTCCTCCATCTCTTCCTCCTCCATCTCCTCCTCCATCTCCTCCTCCTCCATCTCCACCTCCATCTCTTTCTCCTCCATCTACTCCTCCATCTCCTCCTCCATCGCCTCCTTCTCCTCCTCCTCCATCTCCTCCTCCATCTCCTCCTCCTCCATCTCCTCCTCCTCTATCTCCTCCTCCTCCTCCATCTCCTTCTCCTCCTCCTCCATCTCCTCCTCCATCTTCTCCTCCATCTCCTCCTCCATCTCCTCCTCCACCTCCTCCTCCTCCTCTTTCCTGGAAAGGCTGCGACCTAACAGAACCTCCACTGTCGCTGAGCATCACCTCCAGGCAGGGACAGGGTGACTTTGCTCCTCAGCCGCAGCCAGTTCTCGCGCACTCTGAGGTGCACTGGAGCCGCCCCGCAGGAAAGAGCAGAATGCCCCGCGTCCCCGCAGTGCGTGCTTCCCCACCGCCCTCCGCTCCAGCCGTGTCCGGAACCCCCACAACTAGCAGCCCCTGGGGCGACTTCCTGCTGCCGCGAAGGCCAGGTGGAAGCCAGCCAGACGGCGCTGGCGGGGGCGGCATTTGAAACCCGCGGTCAGCCCTGGATGCAGCTAGCTTCTTTCCCGGATGGTCTTGGAAAACTCCAGCGCCCGGGTCCTGCCGGGGCCCAGGGCGCGGACGCTCAGCCCTGGAGCGCAGCTGGCGGGGAGCAGAGCTGCTGCTGGCTGCAAAGCTGCGCCCTGCGAAGCGCTCTTTACGCGCAGCTGCGAGGCGCGGAGTGGCCAGGCGCACGTGGACCCAAGGGGGAAAATGTACTTTTTCGAGGTCACTGAAACGATGGCCACCTTCGGGCTTGGGATGCCCCCGGCACTGCAGCTGATTACCGACACTTGGTGCTCCCTGCTTCGCTCGGAGGAGGGGCCCATGAGCAATCCCTCTGCTCTATGGAGCGTCGCTATGCAACTCCCGTCCCTCCAACGATATCTAAGTAAACTTCACTCAGGAGATGACCAGGGGTACTCAACGCCAGGAAAAAAAAAAAAGAATGGTCAACGTGTTAAAAAACAAATCCTACTATTAAAGGAAGAGCGCCCATCCCCCGCAACAATCCTCTTGAGTGCTTGCAAAATTTTTTTAGGGACCTCCTTGAATTTTTCTCTGGAATCAATTCCATCAGGTTGTTCTTTTTCACTTTATTTCATGCTCCGTTTTTATAGAGGTCTGCCAGAATTCCTTTCCTTCCCCTGCCCGCCCCCCGCAGAATCACGGTGTGCAGCCTACATTGCGGGTCTTCCAAGAGAAAACCTAAAGGGCATGGACCTCTGGCCACGGAGGGTCTTGCAAGATAGAAGTAGAACTTTGCTGGGTGTGGGTCAAGGGAGAATATTCTCCCGATCCTAAATTATTTTCCTGAGATTGTTTTAAAAATTCAATCACCCACTCCCTCCCACACACACACACACACACACACACACACACACACACACACACACAGAGTGGCTCTCCTTGCTATTACAGAAAGCAATGAAATATTTTCTACAGGAATCTTATCCCTACAGAAGCATCACCTGTTCCCTTTTCCTCACTGTCCGCTCTTCTGTCCGCATGCCCCTTTCTCTCTGTTTCCACACCCGTCTCAGCTGTTCTGTCTCTGCATCTCTCTCCTTTCCACCTCCTCTTTCCCCTCTCTCTTCCACCCACCTTTCCAGGCACGACCCAGTGAGATGACCAAATCCTACCAAATCCTACAAGTCCAAGAAGAAAGCTACGTCGTCTCAAAATAATTCAAGCCACTGGCTTTCTGCAAAAGGTCACCCCAAAACTCAGAGTTTCGTTTTGTGCAGGCCAGGGTCTTAAGCGCCTTGCGCATGTCCCGCGCGTCTTGGAGAGGCTACGCACTGAGACGTGCAGTGCCCGGGGAGAAAGATACTTAAAGATCCGCACGCCCTGGCCCCGCGGGTGAGCGCGTCTGGCTTCCTTCGCCCCGCAGGTCCCTCTGGGCTTCGCCCGGCACCATGCAGAAGCTGAGGCGCGCGCCCTGGGGGGCGCTCTCCGCGGTGCTGATCGTGATCTGGAGCCACCCGCGCGCAGCGCTGAGCTGTCCCCACCCGTGCGCGTGTTATGTGCCCAGCGAGGTCCACTGCACTTTCCGGTCCCTGGCTGCCGTGCCGGCCGGCATCTCCAAGCACGTGGAGAGAATCAACTTGGGGTGCGTACCACGTTCCTACTATACAATGCCTGTGCCTTTGCAGGGCGTGTTAGTGTTCTGCCTGGTGTGTGTGTGTGTGTGTGTGTGTGTGTGTAAGAGAGAGAGTGTGTGTGTGACAGTGCGTGCGCACATCTACTTAGCTTCCTGAGGCATCCCCTTTGTGTGTCTCTATCCATCATGACGCACCCCCATGGGGGCAGAACGGTAATGCCGGCTTTCGACACTATGAAAAGTATCCTTTGGGGATATAACAACGGATCAAAGCGTCGCCAGCATTCAGCGGGCTGCGCAATTGCCCACTGAGCGTGTTCGGGAATTAGCTGTCGATGTGAATGCATACGGCTCTCAGCGGATGGGCACTGCTTAAACAGAGTTGGGAAATGCTCAGGAATAAGAAATGGGATGTCACTGGTTTTTTGTGAGTCCTTTGGGTGATAGGACCAACACGATGAGCCCCTAAAAGTTCGTTTCTGTTTGCCTATTGAAAAGGTGAATATTCTATCAGTGTAAAGAACAAGCGATGCAATTGGGTTTAGGGATAAATTACATGAACAGAAAGAAAGAAGAAAGCAGGTATTGAAGTCAGGGAACTGGCTTGGTGCTTTGAGCTAGACCTGCGTTTGCACCAGTAGGCCACTAGTTACAGCTGATCTGTGGTTCTCTTCTGCTGGAGACATGGACATATGGACACACAAACACACCTGCAGAGACCCTCAAATCATACAATCTGTCACTACAATAAACTGTGATAAAAAGTCTGAATCAAATTTCAATCTGTCACTACAGTAAATTGTGATAAAAAAATAACAAGACAGTTTCATAATGCATCTCAGGAACACTAAAGCTCGCACGACTGTGAAAATCCCCCTGTGCCACCTACTGGCCCCAAGGGCTGCTTTATCTCTCTTGATGCCTTCTCATAATCTGTACCCCTTCCAGAAGGGGTAAGGGTGCAGCTAGTAGCAAGAGACCCCTGCTGTACTGTATATCTCCTGTCCTAAATCCAAGTCCTTTCTCGGACGTCCTAACAAAACTCACATAACCAAAGTCCAAATTCTGTAGCAAGTCCTCATGTAGAGGCGAGGAAGAACCCATGGAAAAACTCATATTCCTCCTTCTCCCTTCTGCAATGAATAAGAAACTCAACAAGTTCAAGCAAACCATTATTAATAGGTACAATTAGGCGCCCTGCCCCAAACACATATTTTACGTCCACAATGTCAACCCTGATGAGGTACAGCCACTCAGATAAAATCTCTGTGGAAACTGATCACTGGGGCTTCTTCAGTAAAATATATTCCTTGTTTTCTGCCACTTGAAAGACAACAGATTTAATTTCTGCCTGATGCATAACCGTTATGGGAATGTTTTCATAACATGACCAGATTAGAACCATTAAAAAAATAATTATAAATATTCCTGGGCATTTTAGACTACAAGGTTGAGATATACATGGGGGGACAGACAGACAGATGGGCACATGGGCAAATACACAGATGGATAGATGATATACGTGTAGATAATTTTCGGTGTATAGTGTCCTTAAAACCTTAGAACACAGAGTTAATATACTTTCTATTTCATTGGTTAAATATGATGTCTGGTGGCAGAATAAGAGAAGGCAAACTTGAGCCAATGGACTAGAAGCAGCCCTTGTTCCCAGCAGTAGACCTTTAAATAGTTCTTTCAATAAAAAGTAGGGAAATGTTACGACTTGGTCTTCTGAAAAGTCCAGCCCCCATCCTGACAGCCCCATCGGGAAATCAGGGTTTTGCTGGAGGAGGCGATAGTGCTACACAGGACAGTTTCCTTTTGTGAAATACCATGGTGTGCTGGACACCGCCCCCTGTGGGTGGCAACCAGTGACCAAAGCCGCCGTGAACCAGGTGACAGTGGCTCAACAAATGCAGCTAGGTCTACAGCTTCCGCTCTTCCTTGCACAGCTGGGGCCAGCTGCTTTTGAAATTGCTCCTCCTCTGAGCTTTCCGACCTTAGTGCTTAGCTGGCCACGGAGTTGGGGTCAATTTCAGCTGGGTCTTGGTAGCACCCCCTGAATGGAAAAGCGTGAGTGTTTCTGGTCTGTGCAGGGCACAGGGCTGTCAGGTTGTGAATGGGGGTGTCCACCTCACTGCTTATCTCCTCCCCAAATTCAAGGTCGAGGTTAAGATGTCTTTGAACTCACAGCACCGATCAGACCATTAGTATGATCGGTGAATTTCACTTATGCTTTGCAGAACGTCTTTCTTTATGTTCATTCCTCAATCTCCCTTTCTCTCCTTTTACTTTTGTGGCTCTGGGGAAGCCCTGGACCATGAGCGTTCACCTAGGATATTTTGTCAGCACAAAATGCAAGAGATCCATGCACAATAACTTAATTTCTGATAGTTTCACTTTATTTTTTTTTATTTTTTATTTTTTTTTTTGTTTTTTTTGTTTTTTGTGGTTTTTCTCCGGTACCGGGAACCCAACTCACGACCTTGCGCTTGCCAGGCAGGTGCTTTTGCCGCTGAGCTAAATCCCCAGCCCCTGATAGTTTCACTTTAAACAACTCAAAGTTGTGCACAGAACAAAATACCGATTTCAGCGTGCTTCTTTCTCCAAGAGATGCCTATTGAGATGGATTTGTGTGACATTAAAATATAAAACAGTTCTGTGCTGAATCACTGCAGGACCCCAACATACCACATCCCTCCCATTCGGCTTACTTTGTGACTTGGGTTAGTACACCATTTTCAAATATTTAACCTGTCTTAACATCTTTTCCTTCATTTATTATTTAATATGCCGCTTTTTTTTAGTCACCCATGGCATCGTTCCAATTTGTTAAAAAAGAAAAACTGACCTTAAGGTCGGCAAGAAAACTGGCATTTTGCACAAGAAAAGAGAAGCCAGGGGATGTCTGAGTCTCATAAACTCCGGATCTGGTTCATCTCCACACAATGTGGAGAAAGCAAGCGTGACTCAGAATCCACGCTCTGTGGCCCAGCCCTGCTGAAACCTAGCCACCAGACCCAGCAGCCCATTCTGCATTCTTAGCTTTCACTCATCCAGCCTCAAACTATTTCCAACAAGAACTTGCCTAAAAACAATTTTTTTCAAGGAAAAACAACCATCACCACCACCATCACTACACACTTTTAAAGACTGCTTTTTCACCCCGATGAAAAGACCATCGCTGGTAACATCCTTCTGGATCTTGTCCACTGTCCATGTTTCTCTTTCTTTAATCTTGCTTTCAGAACAAAGCCATGTCAGTGACACAGTCTGACACCTACTGTGTGACACCAACAATGACTCTCTGCGTTCATTGATTAGTCAGTTGGTACCACACAGAGAGTCAGCTCCACCACAATGGAGTTCAGACTTTACCCTGGAGGCAAAGGTACTTAGATGTAGGACGCCTGAGCCGAGCGTGGTTGTACACGCCTGTAATCTCAGCACTCGGGAGGCTGAGGCAGGAGGATCCTTTTGAGTTCGAGGCCAGCCTGGGCTACAAAGTGAGCTCAAGGCCAGCCTGGACTGCATAGCGAGACCCTGTCTCAGAAAGACAAAAAAAGAAAGAAAGAAGAAGTAGGACACCTGGACTTGTGTCACCCTGGTCACCCAGGTCTTTGGTTGGCTGTTCTTCCCAGAATGCAACAGTCACAACCTAATATTCCCTGCCAGCTACCATGCTGTCCATATTTTCGGGTGCGTGGAGGGAAGAGAGTTGCACTTCTCATCTGGCACTCTAGGAACGCCCCAACTTCAGTGGTTGAGAGGCACCTCCAGGATGAGTGAAGCACATTTCTGGGTGTGTGTGTGTGTGTGTGTGTGTGTGTGTGAAGGGGTTGTGATACTGTAGACTGTTTCTGGATCCCAGCTCCTTTCTCCCTGCCGCTCTTTCTTTCTCCCTGCTTCTGTGAATTCAGCATCTTTCCTCCACCTTACACACCTGCCATGATGCTCCTGCCCACAGCCGGCCACGGAGAGCACCCTCTGAAAGCATGAGTCAGATTCACTCTCTCCGCCTCTAAATGGTGGGTGTCAGGTACATTGTGTCCCAGCAGCAGAACCCTGACCAAATATGGCCTCTCTTTTTACCACAGTACCCTGCTCTGACTCCAGATCCATCTTTATCTGCATTGTTCAGATGCTAATAAAACACTTATGAGGGAGATCGCTATAGTTTATTCAGTTACTTTTGTATGGTTATGCTAGTTTTGAGCATTTATGGAGTTTTAAACCCTTGGCCCTGCTAGTATGAAACACTTTCACTCATACAATTTTTTACTCAGATGGTGTCAACTTGGCCCTTGCTTTTATGCTTATTGTATTTTTGGACTTCGTGTTGCTATGGATTATCTTTCCTCCTCCCTCACATCTGTCCTGTGGTCAGTTCCTTTCCCTGAGAAATCTCGCCCATGCTGGACGCACAACAAAGTCTGATGAGCTGGAGGACATGAAGTCATTTCTGATTATGTCACCAACCCACACATAGGCTTCTGGAGAAAGGATTACAAGTGGCATCACTAATCAGGAATTACAGTTCACAGGGACTTAAGCCACTTCCCTGGTGGAATGAGGAGAAGGCTGTAACATGGGGTTTTTTTATCCATGATACAGCCTCACATCCCAAAATGCATCTAGCCCAGGAGGACATCTAGAAACTGAATTTGATGCCACTGCAGGTTTAGAAGGGTGACTGGGGTAAATCTCCACAGCATCCCGGGGTCTAGAAAAGCACTCTGTGGAAATTGGCAGTTCTGTCTTGCTTCAGTCCTGAAAGGGTACAACATCGGGAAAATGAGTTTAAGGTTAGTATACCTTCTCTTGGCAGGATAAGACAGATACTCCTTGAGTCACTAACATGCCTATGTGCAGAACGCAGCAGGGATTTGACCCAAAGTATTCAGATAAGAAAGATGATAGAAATAAAATGAAGGTAGAGATGCCAAGATTTGCCTTCCCTTTACTTACCCCCTGGGCATCCAAAGACCCAGCCTGTAGGTCCCTGTTATAGTGTCATCAATTTTAACCTAAACCATAAAGGATGGTGCTGCTGGGCATGGTGGCACACGCTTGTAATCCCAGCACTAGGGAAGCTGAGGCAGGAGGATCATCATGAGTTCAAGTCCAGCCTGGGCTACATATTGAGTTCAAGCCAGCCTGGACTATGTAGTGACACCCCGTTTCAAAAACCAAACACAAAACAAAAATAAGGTGAGTTTATGAGGAATTTGAAACATTCAGGGAAAATGTTTGTGGCGCTGGGTTTTAAAATTTCCTTCATTCCACACAAAGCAATCCTAGAGAGCTATACAGCAGGCTGGTATTTCTGTGGACTTTGAACTTTAGGTCAGCACCTTTAGGTACATTTTATTTCATAACCAGTTTGGACCTGTAAGAGTGTGTAAGACCTGTAAGGATTTCTTTAATAAGAGTACTCCCTTGAAGGGTCCATACCCTTTTATTTACCTGTTAATAAGCACTGCACAATGCCAGACTGTCCGTATTGTATCTCAGCAAACACTAAGAGGACAAGTAATTGCTATATTATAAGACAAATATATGGAGTTCTCCATATATTTTATAATTGGCTCCACCGGGGTCCCATCTGAGGTTACCTCTGGGTCAGTATCAACACAGCAATGAAGAGTTTCTAAACTTGCCGAGGAAACATCTTGGCGGGTCTGTATTCATCAGCTCTTTGTTGTTACAGCAGAACACCTGAAACGCAGCTTAGATGAAGAGAGGTTCATGTCGGTTCTCGGTTTCAGAGGGCTCAGTCCATGGTTGGCTGCTCCAAGGCAGGAGCATCATGGTGGATGGGCATGGAGGAGGAAAGATGCTCAGCTAACAGCCCCCAGAAAGAAGAGAGAGACAGAGAGACAGAGAGAGAGCCAGAGACAGAGACAGAGACAGAGAGACAGAGAGAGACAGAAAGACAGAGAGACAGAGAGAGGCAGAGACAGAGGCTACCCTTCCTGTTCACAACTCTACTGACTCAACTCATCCAACTGCATCCCAACTTTCAACAGTATATTCAGTTATTCATCCATGGGCGGATCCACAGAGCAGCACAGCACCCCATAATCCAATCACCTTATAAAAGCCCCACCTCTGAGCACTTGAGCCGTTGGTGTTGACATTTTAGACTCAACCATAGTGCCACATTTATGCACAAACTCAAGCCAAAGGAAACCACAAGGTCTATGAACCACCTAGTCCGTGCCAGATGGTAACTTCTCCTAAGGAAATCTGATGGCCTTCTTTAAGGTGGGTGGGTACACAGGACAGTTTGACCTCTGATTCCGTGCAAAGCTACTTCTAGTACGCATAAGTTTCTTACCCATTCTTCCTGGCCTTGGGCCGTGCATGATCTTTACCACATCCCAGCAGAATTTCCAAGATAAGCCCTGCCCCTTCTGAACATTCTCCCCCCGCTCCTTCTGATCAACCAGCCAATGGCATTTGCATGTTCCAAGCCAACTTCACCAGGCAGAGATGCACAGAAATGTGTCTGCTCCGTGTCATTCCCCAGAGCTGGGCAAAGACATAAGAGAGGAGCAAAAGTGGTTTTCAGAGTTGCCCTCCGCTGGCTGCTCCTGGGTGTGCTGGGGATTCTCTCCCAGGTGCACCTGAAACAGCCACTGTTGTCTATGCTAATGCTCCTTCTTCTCCTTCTCCTTCTTCTCCTTCTTCTCCTTCTCTTACTCTTCCTCCTCCATCTCTTCCTCCTCCATCTCCTCCTCCATCTCCTCCTTCATCTCGTTCTTCACCTCCTCCTCCTCCATCTCTATCTCTTCCTCCTCCATCTCCTCCTCCTCCATGTCCTCCTCCATCTCTTCCTCCTCCATCTCCATCTCTCCCTCCCCTATCTCCTCCTCCTCCATCTCCTCTTCCTCCATCTCCTCCTCCATCTCCTCCTCCATCTCCTCCTCCTGCATCTCCTCTTCCTCCATCTCCTCTTCCTCCATCTCCTCCTCCTCTACCTCCTCTTCCATCTTCTCCTTCATCTCCTCCTCTTCCATCCCCTCCACCTCCTCCTCTTCCATCTCCATCTCTTCCTCCCCCATCTCCTCCTCCATCTCCTCCTCCTCCTTTTACTTTCTTTTAGGTTTAACAGCATACAGGCGATATCAGAAACCTCATTTTCAGGACTGAGCAAGTTGGAGCTACTTATGATCCACGGCAATGACATACCCAGCATCCCTGACACAGCCCTAAGGGACCTCAGTTCCCTGCAGGTAAACCTGAGCATTCACTGATTACATCCTCTCTGGCCCATCCTAAAGAGTGAGATTTGCATAAGTCTCCCCGTGATCTGTAAAATTGCTGGTCTGACATGAAATGGGAGTTTTCTATGTCACTCTTTCCCCACCCTTTGTACTGAGCTCTGCTCTTCACTGTGGCTTTGTAAACCATAACCAGATTCCCTCCTCTCCCCTCCCTTCTGCCTTCTCCTCCCCTTCCCCT